TCAAAGGGTGCAGTTTTGGCAGATGTGTTCTCACCATCGACAGGAACATTATATTCTAAAGCTCAAGAACCCTTTCCAAAGCTTGGATCTTCTCACGTCGAAAGTCACGGGAAAGTCAGTGTAGTAGGGCTTCTTTGGATCACACTGGCTGCAGCTGCAGTTCAGACTGTCAAATTCGACATCAACACCACGCTGAAGTAAGTAGTAAACAAGTGTTAGTGTCGATGGCAGGAAAAGCCACCATCCAAATCCTCTACCTAGGCAGCTACGAAGACACCTCTGTCAAAGAGATCCCATGACCAGATCCTGAGAGAACTGAGGGTGGAGCTCCAAACAAAACTATCTAAAGTGTTAAGTACCCATCACATGGTAGAGCAGATCACAGTGAATAAACGTCTTTGTCAGGAGATGGTCACAGAGGAAGGTTGGCTGTGGTGGTGAGCAACATATTCATTGTAGTTCGAAGAATACGTACATTACATTGTTTATTTCTATATTATTTATTTCTATGTTAGAGAGTTTTCATTACATTATTTCACTATTTAAGGGTATATCATATTTATATTATATACTAACCATTGCAAAGATTGTTTTATCATTAAAGTTAAAGGGTCTTGATTTGTAAGTTGCAGTTCTTTGTTTAAGGGTATTGTCACTCGTGTTGCCTGCGAATATTTACAGGGGTAAAAGAAAATTAATCCACTCCTTGACCATAATGCCAGTGTAAAGTTAAATTTAATTGCTGGCATGAGAGAAAGACTGAAATGGAGGGGGAAGGGAAAATATGTACAGGCATGCCATACATTTTTCACTTTCTTATTTTAATATAGAATTGTTGATTTGGTCTAATGCAATTCATACAAAGTGAGCTATTCATAACAAATCACAAGAACACGGTCACATGTAAGCTTATAGATAAAACAGCGTGACTATGGTTTTTGTAGTAACTGTTTTTCACGGTGTTGGTCGTGAATGATATAACTGTACAAAAATCTTGTGTTCATACTTATAATTATTTGACACACGCATCTAGGACAATGTATGGCTTTAAACGTTAAACAACAAAACTGGTTTGTGCACACAGATGATTTTGAATATAATGCCTTAACAAAACATTTAAAAGTCTTTTAAACGTCTGATTTTTTTTTTCATAATAACTATGCAATGTGTGGAGTCAGAAGTATCTTTTCGTAGACAATTTTTATAACAGAGAAAAAAGGGGCACTTTTGAGGCATAAGAGCAGGAAGACAGAGGATTAAGCCTACCTAGTCACCCCCTCTGCACTTCACTGGAAATAAAGTTGACCTTTACCAGCCAGCCAACACAAATTTCTTGTTATCCCCCTTGCGCTCTTTCTGTATCTTAATTCGGCCGTTTTTATTTGATTTTGTTGTTGAGGTTGGTCTGTGCCGGCGTTTTCGAAATATGTAAATCACCTCTGCCTTTTTGTTTGTGATTATCTCTTGATGCACTTTAGAATTTCACCCTTCACGAGCGAGCGGGGCGAAGAGGAACAGAACTCTGGCTGTACATCTCTAGTTATCGCCTAAACCCCTGCCACTGTTAGATAAAATGTTTAATAAGACACGATTACAATCATTAACCCTAAAAATTGCCCGTGAAAATGTCATTTTTATTATATCCACAGTAGTTTTATTTTTCTTACTCATGCCAACTACTTCCTCCTCCAGTGGTACAGCGGTAAGTTTACGGACTAACAATATTAAAATCCGAGGTTCGATTCCCCACGGTGGACACAGAAGATAACCTAATGTGGCTTTGGTTTAAAACAAACAAAATACTTCACCCTCGATTCCAATTCAAAGATCATAATATTTAACAAATTAAGAACCTTTTGATTACCGTGAAACATTCCTTTGCAGATTTTCATGTTTTGGATTGAAACTGAAGGAAAGGCTACTTCGATGATAACATAAGACTAATTTGTCCTTTATATAGTCTCACAGTTGGATTGGACTTGATGACAAGGAGCCAACATTGGGACTAATAAAGTTTAGATAACAAAGAAAATTTTGCTTACAAGTTTGATCTGATAGACTGGAGAGAAAGCAGCTACACAACAGCCCCACCGTCAATTCTTTGGGTATTTTAATCGAACAGTGATCCTGACTCTTATAATGCACCAGTAGCCCCAAATAATAGAGTAGGGGGTTTTGTTTGTTGGTTTGTTGAATTTCGTCTAAAGCTACTCGAGGGCTATCTGTTCTAGTCATCCCTAATTGAGAAGTGATAGATTAAAGAGAAGGCAGCTAGTTAACACCACTCATTGCTAACTCTTGGGCTACTCTAATTAAATAGTGGAATTGACTGTTCCATTACAACGCCACTACGGCTGAAAGGAGAGAATGTATGGCGACGGGATTAGAACCCACAGCCCCCAGCTCGCATGTCTAACCATTACGCCATACTAAGCCAACTAGAGGAAAGACAGCTAGTCGACAACACTCACTGCAAACTCTTTAATTACCCTAAGTAAATAGTTATAGTGAGATTTGAGTGTCGCTCTTATGATATATCTACGGCCCAAACTTTCGGACTTTGATTCTAAGGCAACGGGACACGTGCCATGGACCTTAATATTTAAACTTCTGGCCGCTAATCACAAGACTAAACACGACCCTTGAATTTAAAATCGCAAGCACTTCTTGAAATTAGATTGAAAGGAACTAGAAACAGGTGTGTAATAAAAGTCTGGTATATAGATGAATCGTATATATGATGGTATACAGAGTTAATGGTGCAAAAGAAGCATGACTATTAATACGAATGCAAAAGTAAGGTGTAGCGTTCCAGTGGAAAATATATGGTGCACATACACACACACACATAAACAATACAATTACGCACTCAAGCAGCGTCAGACGTGTTCAACACGTATACAATTTTGATTTTACGTATTTCGCGTTAAACCAGAATATACACTTGAATTATATTTAGAAAGAAAAACATAGAATTCGCTGCTTGTTAAGATACTTAGCTTCACAAATTATGTATTGTCTAAAAAGTTTTTAATAGCTACTACTTTAATATAAACTTGGTGCGAATTTCCGCTTTGACCGTTTCTTCTTATTTAGTTTTATATTGTCGATAGACTAAATTCACTTACAAATGTCTTTCACCATATACTTAACTCGCAAGAAGACCAATGTGTACTTTAATCATTGTTTATTTTCAAAAAAATCGTGATAGGCAAGATTTTCTTTCAGTGTTACATTAACGCAAAAACTAAAAAAAAATTATTACTGTAATTTGATTATTGTCTGAGCGTGAATCTAAGAAAACCTTTTTAACGATTCTTAACTTCTGGGAACTTACCATTATCGAAACATAATTACGGTGGTGTGTTTTGTATGCTGTAATAATGAGATTTGATATTCTAGGATTTTAGTTTCATAGAAACAAACAGGAGTGAATGCGGAATAAATTCTGAAAAACAGTCAACAATCGTCAAGCATAAAATCTTAACTCTACTTTTACAGCAATGAGATAATACAGATTTGTATGCCCATAGGCCCTAGAAGGACTGCAGCCATCTTTTGTTAGTTTTTTTTGTTCAATACCGTGAAATTAACAAGTTCTAAAACGTCATTAGATGAATTGAAAATGACAATACCGTATTGCAACTATCCATTGTGCACATTTTACACTGTATAGACATTCATTATATTCTGCTCTACAGACATAAACATACCTTTTTACTAACGTGGTATCTCCCTTCCCTTCCGGGCCTGGTATGGTCTGGTGGTTAAAGTATTCAACTCATAATCTGCAAGTCGCAGGATCGAATCCCGTGACTGAACATGTTCGCCCCTTCAGCCGCATAAGTGTTGTAATGTGACAATAAATCCCAATGTTCGTTTTAAGAACTGATTAGTGAAAGTAAATAGGAATATGTAATAATATGTCAACCACCCTATCTGCCATGTCCAATGATGACGAGGCCTTTCGGCCAATACCAGGGCTCATCAGGCCGGTTGGGATATGACAGACATAGTAGTGAGTTATTTATATCATAACAACAACTGTTATGGTGTGAACTAGATTGAGCAAGTGAAATGTAACTTCTATCAACTTTATATAAGTAAGGATTAATAAAACAGTTATTTATTTTTTACGCCAATTATGTATTATTATTATTATTACTATTTTTTACTTGAGTTACACTTCACCATCATTCAGAAAAACCAGTAAGCTAGTTTTCTTGTTCCCAGAGCGGGTCATGTAACCACGTCGTCAACGAGGAAACTATATTAGTAATTGTAAGAACTTACGAGTGAAAGCAAACAAGACTGTGTAATAATATGCCAACCATACTACGTCTGTCATATCTAGTTGTTCAACACCTCTCCACCATTTTTCTTGTCCACAAATGAACATCCTATAGGGGGAAGCAAGTTGTTTTGAGATGTGAGGTAGGGATGGTAAATATTTCAACCGTGTAAAAACTTGTTGTGTCATAACTTCTAAAACTTGTGTATTTTTCTCATACATGCCTAAGTTTTATTTTTACACCTTGCCTCTTTCAAGTAAATTCGCTGCATTTCAGGTCAACTCAGTCTTCAAGAGTCAACAGAAAGGGAGATTTGGGTTGTGTTGAATTTCGCGCAAAGCTACACGAGGGCTATCTGCGCTAGCCGTCCCTAATTTAGCAGTGAAAGACTACAGGGAAGGCAGCTAGTCATCACTACCCACCGCCAAGTATTGGGCTACTCTTTTTTATCAACGAATAGTGGGATTGACCGTAACATTATAACGCCCTCACGGCTGAAGGGGCGAGCATGTTTGGTGGGACGGGGATTCGAACCCGCGACCCTCACATTGTGAATCAAGCACCCTAACCACCTGGCCATGCCGAGCCCAGAAAGGAAGGACATATAAACAAAGATTCTGTAATATAGTAAGTAGAGACTATGTTATGATATATATAAGATTCGACAATCGACCTTTTAAATATATAATAAAAGACCAACAGAATTACCTGCACTGTTTCAACTGTGAGTCACCGGCCTCCTTGAAAATACCTAAGTGTTCAAATGTTGTCTTTCGGAATAGCCAATATACTGTACTGTACAAAAAGAGTAAAGACAGCCACCTGATAGATAAGCACGGAGTCTCGTAGCTCCTCAATGTCACGGTGTTGTAGGTGGAATGTAACGAGTAACATACTCTAGTCACACTTTGTAAGCAACGTCAATACAGAAACACGTCATTTAGCTCTAGCGGAAAACAATGGACTGATATAACTCATGCGGAAGTGTTTAAGTAACAGAGACAAGGGCGGGCTATACTTGCGAGAAGAAAATCGCTGACCAGAAAGGTCATAATCACGTGACTTGCTGCAACATGACTATACGTTTACAAAGTAAACGTGTTCTTCCGTGCTGGCTCTGAACCACAAGCAATAACAACTAGTTCTTGTTAACTTTACGGATTCTGTATTCTAGTTTTTAAGTGGTGCAACCTTATCGTAGATTCACCATTTAGTTTAAAAATAACAGTGTAACGCATGTCAAGAAAGTGGACTCTTAACAGTCACTTGAGTTTTATTCCTTTTTTTTTCTGACAGAATGGGTAAATCAATGGTAGAAGACCCTGTAACTCTGTGGTCGTTTGGCTTGTATACATCCGGGTTACATAAAAAATAGCACGTCACCTCAGAATTCTTTCGATTTTAGATAGAAAATTCTCGATATCGTCAAGAAATGTCTTATTCCAACCAACGGTTTTATTATAAAACACAATGCGCACATTTATCAGGCAAGAGCAAACTTTGAATCTGACAGTTGTAAATAATAAAAAAGAGCGATTTTTGAAGTAAACCACGTAAAAACTGAATTTGATCTGAAGTCGGCGAATTAGAACTTGTTCTATTGTTTGTAGTTAAACAAAAAAGCTACAAAATAGGCTCTCTATACTCTGCCCACAATGGGTATCGAAACCCGGTTTCTAGCGGTGTAAGTCCACAGACATACCGCTGTGCCACTGGGAGGCGAATTGGAACTGTTATATTCACATAACACGGTATATTTATGAAAAAAAAGGCGTTTATTAAAAATTCAAAATGTTAAGAAAACAGTTTCCAAGGTTCGGAAAAAATTTAAATATGATAGAAAAATTTGGAAGTTGGGCGTTGTTCAAAAGGATCGCTAATCGTATTTACAAATATACGATACAGTGGTTTTCATAAGAATTAGACTTTCCACAAGAAACATGCATCTATTCATTATCAGGAAAGTCTGTTGATTATATTATAGGCGTCAGCGTGTACAAGTTTAACCAATAGACAGAGACTTTCCACAAGAAACATGCATCTATTCATTACCAGGAAAGTCGCTGACGCCTATAATATAATCAACAGTGTACAAGTTTAACCAATAGACAGAGACTTTCCATAAGAAACATGCATCTATTCATTATCAGGAAAGTCTGTTGATTATATTATAGGCGTCAGCATGTACATGTTTAACTAATAGATAGAGAGCTTACTTTAACCTAATAAACATCATTTGTGACGATTTTAACTATTCTAATCTTTTTCCAGACAATAAATTTAAGTTTCATATCATAACGTTAAGATTTTGGCTAAATAAGAGATGTTAAAAGCTCGAGTGATGAAAGAGGTTTTAGCTCTATCTTAATTTCCGCTAATAAGGGCTTTAGCGTGAATGATGACAGACAAAATAATAAAAACACCTTAGATTATTACATTTCACAGAATCCGTTATCTTATAAGTTAAACAACACTGAATAAGGTTCCACTTGGCCTACTTTTCTCCTCTGGTTAATTATTACTTCCCGTCATGGTTAAACAGACCGAGTCTTAGGTTCATTCTAACTGAATGTTTCGCTGTTAAGCTACAAACCACCTCAGGCATTTCCTTTTGACGCCAAAACACATGAGCAGTTAGAAATTTAATAATATCTGATTACTTAACATGAGAGTTGGGTGTTTTTTTGGACTGGAAATCAAAAATGTCAAGATACATGACTGAAACACAGATGAAACAAATTCAAATTGTCCCCTAAGAGAGTCACGATGTTGATCAAAACCGTTACTTAGAAAAGTGTGTCTACCACAAACCTAATAGCAAGGTTCAGCGTTGTTAATATAATACGTATATAAAAGTTAGAATTCGAGCATAATACTTGAAGGCAAGTATAAATAAATACATATTAGTATAGTATTATACGGTTCAGGTCAACGAATCAGTATAAATGTAATAGTACTGTCTGTTGTATGTCCAACAGGGTGTGGATGGATCTTCACCAAAACTGGTACGGAGATTCATTAGGTCCATGCGAGGGTACATACAAATTTTCAGTTTTGCGGTTCTTATGGGTGTTTTTAACACTATTTTGCCCCCTGTAAATGGATCTTCACCAAATTTGCCATGAAGGTTTATCGGGTCCATACAGGCAAATTTGCGTTTTCACATTTTGTGTTTTGCAGATTTTCTGGGCGTTTTTTACAATTACA